AGGAACTACAGATGTAGTGACAAAGTTAGACAGATCTTGTGGAGATGATACTCATGTTAGAGTACGTGAAAGCAAAGAAGAATCAAGCAGGTCCTTATACTAGGATGAAGCACATGTAAGTGCTTGATTGTCTAAGAGAATATATTTAAGATCCTGTGGGTATTTTAAATTATTCTAGTGACGAAGTTTTAAAAAAAAAAAAAATTGAGTCTACGTCATGAAGTGATCTGGCTTAATAACCCTCTAATTTATATGGTTATGAGATACTTTGGTAAACTTGTTGCTTGATGTTTGCAGGTTGAGCTTTAAGTGCTCTTAATATGTCCATAACCCAGATTGGGTGGTCAATTGAGACAGCTTACATGGACACACCGAAGTATTTTAATTTATTGAACTTTTGTTCTGAATGGGTCTAGAGCCTTGTTTTGGTTGACTCATTGTTGGATTTACACCATTTATATTTATTGAATCTATAACTTTTTCAGTGGTTTGTTGATCAGGTGGATTCAGTAAGGTTGAGCGTGGCTCTTAATGTCATTTGTCCAATTATTCTTTGAGCAGGGATTGATAATGGTTCTTAAGTGGATTTAAGACCATTAGCCCAGTGGCTCTTAGAGTAGGATTCATAATGACACCGAAGGGGGAAGGTTGAGCATTGCTTGCTCTTAATACTACTAGCCCAGTTGCGTGAGAGTAGGCAATGATAGTTATCCTTAAATGAATTAGAATCACTAGCCCAGTTACTACTCGAGTAGGGACGATAGTGGTACCGAATGACTGAGGTTGGGAGTATCCCTTAATGCATCTAGCCTAAGAGCTCATTGAGCAGTGGATTGATAGATGCACCGTCGAGTTGATAGGGTTGAACGTTTCGTTCTTAATGTTCTTATTCCATTGTACAGAAAAATCTTAGGTTTGCAAGGTGCTTGAATGTGTTTTAAGCCTGCAAGGAAAGACCCTAGATGTGCTGGGAATGTGTATTTTATACACAGACGGAACACCTATGTGAGTACGAGGGGTGGCCTCCTTCAAGGGAAAATTGTGGTGTAGTTTTCCTGAAGTACTCATGAGAGCCCAAGGTGTAGGCCAAGATTGGCGGAGTTGCTTAAGCTCTAAAGTCAAGGTATGTGTATTCAAGGTCCCTTCCTCGCTCCTAAAAGTTCAAATCTTATGATACTCACTAGGGAAGTGTTGAAAACCTTGTGCACTAATGTGTTAGTTCAAACCTTTGGATACTAGCATTTAAGTACTAAGACTTTCATTTACTGTTCATATTTCATGTTGAAGATCCGCTCGCATTAGTGGGGGATTGTTGGAAATAGGTAATGCAAACGGATGCTCGCGCCCGATCGGGCGGTGTTCCCTCGATCGGGCGGAGGTGGCCAAGGAAAATAGGAGAACTCTCGCGCCCGATCGGGCGGCGGACTCGAGTTTTTGACGAGCCCGATCGGGCGGCTTCGCCCGATGGCTCGCCCGGGATGGGGTTTCTAGATCGCCCGACCGGGCGGTGTTCCAGGCGCCCGATCGGGCGCGACACCAGGTCTGGAGAAACTTAATCTCGCGCCCGATCGGGCCCGCCTTTTTTCCTAGGTCGGTTTGCTTTGCGTGTTTCCTTTTCCGGGACTCATATAAATACGAGTCTTGCCTTTTCATGAGATTCATTCACTTTCTAGCCGAAAACACAAACCTACCTTTTGAGATCTGAACAGTTCTTGAGCAATTCCACTCTTCGAGTTCGGGCGCACAGATTATGGAGAGAGTTGCGTTAAACTTGGGGGGCGTGCGTCACTAGGAAACTTGTACCGGTGGGGGCGTATTTCGCTTCTAAGGCAGTGGATTTTGTTCCATGGCGCGACTGTGAGTTTGAGATCTTCAATCAAGTATTTTCCCTTTCATCTTCTCTATTTTGTTATTGGAATCAACAGGTATTTTCCCAACACTAATTACCTGCTGAATATTTTTTTTTATGTTTTAAACGTCGCATGTCAGTACATAATTGGCCTAATAAAAAAAATTACAGAAAGCAAAAATCCCAGCCTTCCCTCGCCGTGAAATCCCAGCCCTCCCACTGGCAAGTGGCCACATCCAGCCGGAAATGGTCGGCCACCTCCCTAATCCCCCCAAAAATGGCCGATTTGGTTTCAATTTATGGTGGTTGTTGTTGGTTCGTGAAGAAAGAGCAGCAACTGCTTTGTTGGTTGCGCCATTGCGGCGTAGGGGAGGGAGGACCTTTTCAGGTGGTTCACTTTTCTAATAATCACAACCTTTAAGGTGGTTTTGGGGGTCGGGGATCGACAGTAGAGGCCGCCCGGCCATTTTCCCAAAGAGATTGAGAGTTCCAGTGAAGTTAGGGGGATGCTAGAGGGTGGCAGGAAATTTGATTTTTTTTTCTTTATGATTTATTTAAAGTTTTTTTAGACCAATAACATGTTAACACGTGTTATTGACTGATTGATGATCGATTAGGACTATTGGAGTTAAGTTGACCTAGTTAGAATTATTGAAAAATAAATTTTAATTGGAAATTATTAGAAGTCAATCGCCTATAGGATTATTAAAATGTATTTATTCCATGTTTATCATATCTTTTACAAAATTATATCTTACCATGAATTCATATGTACCTCATAATATATTTATTTTTTTCTATTAAAATCTATTGTAACTAAATGATATATACTCCCATATCTATCAGCTATACCCTTTTTTGTTTTATTTATTTATTTATTTATTTATTTGTTTTTTATTTTATTTTTATCATTTAAAATGTGAATTTATCATTAAAAAAAAAGTATAGTATCAAGTTGGGATTATTATATAATAATCCTTAGTTGAGATTATTCTAGGTAAATCACCCTTCGCTTTATTTTTAATAATGGTTCAAAACTTAAAAATATCTACTTGTATCCGTTCATATACCTTATCACAGTACAAGATTCATCTTTTGAATAGTATGATGTCACTTATACCATTCAAAATATGTAAACATAATTCCAGCAAAGGCTTAATCATACAAATAATTTTTTTACATAATTAATATATATATATATATATATTTTTAATTTTCTTTTGAGGACCTAGCCCCAAAGAAAAAAGTCAAAAACAGAACAAATAAAGTAAGGAGAACAAAACGGGGAAAACTACACCTACAACACCATACCCTTGTTTGGCAGCCAGTCAGCAGTTACAATGAAGATGCAGTATGCATATGCTATGAAGCTTGGGGAGAGCAACTCATTTATAATTAAGGCTAAGATGATGGCAGTAGAGTATGGTATTGAGCTGGAAAAGAGAATGGGGATTCAGTGGCTGCAAATTCGGATGGACAACAAGGCTGCTGTGTTGGCTTTAAACTAATAAGTAAAATAGTTGTAATGTTAGGACAAGCAACTAACACAAGTTAATTTAAGAGAGCAACATACATAGACCACTTTTACCTGAGTGTGTAACATGTAAGTATGGCCAATCAACTTGCCAACATCAAGCATCATATACGTACAAATGTACAATGGTAATACCAAAAACACCTTCTGGTATACGTTATTGATAGGAGAGGATTGAAAGGCAAATATGTTACACAAAAGATTAAAAAACAAAATAAAATTGTGTGCTAATCAATGTTCATTTATCCAGATCAAACACTTAGCAATGACAATGAATCAACAAAGGAAAGAATTAAATCCCAGTTGGACCTAAAACTGAGAAATCTTACTTACTGACACACTAAGTATCACTAACATATCTATAATTATTCAGAATATTTCAGTACTATGATATAAACTGATGAATCTAGAAATAAGCTACTGACATGCCAAGAAATAACAGAATTCTGAAGCAACTATACTCTGTCTTCCTGTATGTTGCCACTTCCCTCATATTAATCACTCCCATTAGACGTTTCACCTTCCCGCCTTGCGAGTGTTTTGACAAGACGGCTTGATATCAAAGAAGATCCGTAAAATTTTGTTCATGTTTTCTTGAAGAAGCTTCATGTCTTACATAATATCTAATTCACCCTTAGTTTTCATACTAATGTTAATTCACGACTTAATGTGAAGTGTTATGTTGCTTGTTCTATCGTCTTTACTTTGAACCATGATAGTTCTGTCAAAGTCTCATAAGAACATGAAGTTGATGTAGGTTTAATTTGGTTTAAATCTATATCACCCTTAATTCCCAATATAAAATAACAGTATAACATGACACTACTTGACTACCTCTAATTGGTCCTATTAACTTGATCCAGCTTAAGTTGAACACTTTAATCATCAAAGATTTATTTTAAATTAACTCTAATTGGTCATACTAACTTGATCCGCTTTAGTTGAACACTTTATTTAAAGAATTCTAGTGACATAAATTTATAGCCCGTGCTTAATTATAGTAAAAGATGAAAGGATTGAATTTTTTTTAAAAAAAAAGACATAAAATGAAGCTACTAATTATAAAGAAAGAAAATCAAATTGCAGTGTCTCTGCTTTTATTAAAATCTTATAACTAACACACCAATGTTCATTTGTCTAAATCACACAATTACAATGAAAATTAATCAAGAAACGAAACAATTCAATCCCAGTTGGACCTAAAACTGAGAAATCATACTTATTGACACACTAAGTATCATCACTATGACATAACCTGATCAATTTGGAAATAAGCTACTGACATGCCAAGAAATAACAGAATTCTCAAGCAACTATATTCTGTCTTCCTGTTGCCACTTCCCTCATCTTAATCGCCCCCATCAGACATTCAGATGTCTCACCTTGCAAGTGCTTCCGGATCATCCTGGTCGAAAACATCACGACCATGCTGTCTAATTGTTTCTTGAGTGTTAGATTTCGGGAAAACTCCTTGGGTTGGAGTGTGTACCATTGAATAATATATATAGTGTTACAATACTAGTCCTAATCTTGTTAGGAAACCTAGTACGATAAGAATACAAACTATATCACAAATATATACAAATATATCCTACTCTGCGACAAATATTATAATAATCCTATAATATCTATCACACCCCCGCAGTCGTAGCGGGAGGAGGACGTATGTTAAGACTGGACCTAAATTCCAGAAATAAATCTCGTGGTAGGCCTTTGGTGAAAATGTCCGCAAACTGATATCTAGTAGGAACATGCAAAACCCGAACTTGTCCCAAAGCAACCTTTTCTCGAACAAAATGAATATCCATCTCCACATGTTTGGTGCATTGGTGTTGTACCGGGTTTCCAGAAAGGTAGATAGCACTGACATTATCACAATAAACAATAGTAGCCTGCCGTAGAGGACAATGTAACTCAAGTAAAAGATTACGAAGCCAACATGCCTCTGAGACAACATTTGCGACGCCTCGATATTCCGCTTCTGCACTCGACTTAGACAAGGTATGTTGACACTTAGATGACCAAGACACGAGGTTGTCCCCAAGGAAACAACAATAGCCCGATGTGGAACGTCGGGTATCGGGACAACCTCCCCAGTTAGTGTAAGTAATAAGTCGATGAGAAACAGTCGGATATAAATGTAAGCCGTGATCAATGGTACCCTGAACATAACGCTGCCGTTTCAATGCCTCAAAGTGAGGTTCCCGAGGATCATGCATAAAAAGACACACCTGTTGTACCGCATAGGCAATATCCGGCCTAGTGAAAGTGAGGTACTGAAGAGAACCTGCTAAACTGCGATACAAAGTCGGATCCCAAAATGGTGGTCCTGCATCTGCACTAAGTTTTGACTTAATGTCAACTGGAGTAGCTGCAGGTTTACATGAGCCCATCACGTAAAATAAGAGGTGTTTTAGGATGTGGGATAGTGCCACGACCATAACCTGTTACTAGAATACGATGAACATTGCCAACTAAAATATGATTTTTAGTGCTTAAATTAAAAAGGGACAAGAGATTACCAGCATTGTTCGTCATGTGAGATGTGGCACCCGAATCCACGTACCATTGATTGTCGGGATTTGGAAGAGTCATTGTAGAGAAAGAGGATGCCAAGTCCGTGGGGGTCATGGGCTGCCCATAATGTGCTGTGTAGGCTTGCTGCTGTGGCTTGGGCTGACCAAGTATTGATTGTTGTTGCTGGACCGGAAAGGGAGCAGGAGGTCTGGCCCATGTGGCTTGCTGAGCCCATTGTTGGAAGCTTGCCCATAATTGTTGCTGACTTGGGCCAGACGGATTAGAAGAGGTGGATTGGGCCGAGGCTTGTTGTTGGTGCTGCTGCTGGCCACCACGCCCTCGGTCTTTTGCTTGCCTCCCCGTCCTTTGCTGCCACGCCCTCCGCCACCACCGCCCCTGCCCTGCTGTTGTGGTGGCTGCTGCTATTGGGCGGCTGCCGCGGCGGTGGTGGTGGCGTTGTTAGCTTGAGTAACAAACGCCTGACCGGAATCGTCTTTTGCGGATTTGCGTGACTCCTCTAACAAAATTCTTAATCTTGCTTCATCAAATCCGGGAAGAGGTCGAATTTGAGTGATGGATTGAGCCACTCCATCGTAATCTTAGTCAATTAAGCCTGCACAAAGACGTAATACCAATGTTCTTTCGGACACGGGTTGACCAACGTTGGCTAGTTGATCTTTGAGTTCCTTCAATTTCTGACAGTAGGAAGACACATCTGGAAAATTTTCAACAAAAAGATTGTTAAACTGGTTTTCAAGATAAATAGCACGGATTTCTCCATTGATGTGAAAAATATTAGCGAGCCTATCCCAAGTTTCCTGTGCCGTAGCGTTCTTGTACAACACCGTGCTTCTTAAATCTGCAGAAATTGTATTGTAAATCCAGTTTTTCACAATCGAGTCAAGGCGGTTCCACTGCGCCGTTGTGAGGTCCGTAGTAAGAGGGGATTTAGGATCGATATGATCGATAACATTGCAAGAATGACAATGAATTTCAAAAAGTTCAACCCAACTACCATAGTTCCCTTTGTCACGATCAAGAATTTCTGGAACCTCATTCTTGATGTTGCTAATTGCATTATCAGGGTGATAGTCATTAGATGGAGGAGGAGGAGGTGGTGGGGTTGGGTTTTCATTATCTTTGGCCATTGAAAATCAAACAAGAAATAAAACTTGCTACTGACTAAAAAATCTTGCAATGATGGAGGTAATGGAATTACCACGCCGAGAGGTAGCGGAAGAGAAAGGATCTGATCTTTTTAGGAAATTAAAAAATTTGTGTAACCCTAAAAAAATCTAGGCTGTGATACCATGTTAGATTTCGGGAAAACTCCTTGGGTTGGAGTGTGTACTATTGAATAATATATATAGTGTTACAATACTAGTCCTAATCTTGTTAGGAAACCTAGTACGATAAGAATACAAACTATATTACAAATATATACAAATATATCCTACTCTGCGACAAATATTACAATAATCCTATAATATCTATCATTCAGAAGTGTCGGAGTCATGATTTACATTTGCAATAGGCCCAATTATTTCATCGTTAAACTCTGACATGACCAGTTCAGCTCCTTGAACCATCCAACGGATGTCTTCCTCTGACATGCCAATTAATTCGCCTCTTAATCCGTCCATTTCTGGAAGGATATCAGTACCGAGTGTGAACAAAAACTTAGCATCGTCAGTACTCCTCAATGTCACAGAGAGTTGTCCATATATCCAAAGGTGGTGTGGCTTCAAATGCCTTAGAGCGTGCATGATCGATGGCCAACTTTCGTCAGGACCAATGCATAGTAGGATCAAGTCTTTGAGGCCGTTCTTGGCGCTAATCACTTGGTCGACAACAAAAGATTTTAGAGGCAATTGATGACCAGCAGTACACATAGAAAACAGACACACACCGAAAGCATATGTTTGTTCATTTTGGACAGATTTGTATGAAGATATGTCAACTGGTGAAGGAAACCTCTTAGCCTCATACACATCTCATACCTTGATACATCCCGACACACCATCAAACATGACTTTGTTGCAATTCAGAGTAGTAAACACTATCTGAGGGTCTAATGAGTTGAGGTAGGCAAGCCCTTTGAGAATTTGCCTGCCCCATGTTTTTAACATGGGGTTGTTTTGATCCATATCTAATATTGTGATGTACTCCATCATTCTGCCCGATAAAAAATTAGTAATAGGAACTAAAAAATCATCAGCAATCCAAAAATCGTGAACCTTGAGTACATTGTCGTTGTCACATAGCTTCAACAGATTATTCATCAATCTTTGAATTAAAAAAAAAAAATTTGTTTATGATAAACTTATCTTATTTAAAATTATAATTAAAAAAATCATCATAAATGATAATAACAAAAAAGTAATTTAATTACGTAAGGTATTTTTTTGGAAACAAATTACGTGAGGTATTTATTTATTAATTAATAACAATGGGTATTTTTTCACGTGATATAATATCTCAAAACCAAAACCTCCTTGATATCATACTTGAAAGTAAAATAAGAAAGAACGCATCAACCATGGAGATGGAGAGCCATAAGAGGAGGAGGACGATGGAAGGAAAAATCAAAGAATAGAGTTTAATGTCCACTACTAACACTTGAAGGGTGTTGCTTACATGATTTCTGTTTTGTTTAAGTGGAATATATTGTAATATCTCCCTATTTGTCAAAGCTTGTGGAATAAGACAATTAATACGTAGTGTGTTATTATATACTTCGTATGTATTAGCACGTTACTTGTAGAACTAGCACAAAATAGAATAGAGAGAAAAACTTACTTACTCCAAGGTTTTGAGAGAAAACACATTAAAAGAGTGAGTAGTTGTAATCAATAACTAGTGAGTGTAAATAATAGAGAGTTTATGAGCTTATTAAGAGTGTTTATACATGTGATTTGAAAGCTTAAATACAATTGTTGATTGTGTTTGAGAAGGGTAACAAAGTTACTCGTAAATTATTTGTGTTATTTTGTTGTTCTTTGGCATTGTGGTTTGTTTTTGCTTGATTTTGAACCCGAATTCCTAACAATATATATCCATTATTTCTCAGTTTTCCTCTCAATACATATCCCAACATTATTTGACGATTTTGGTTGCAGACAAATGTAGTATTGAACTAATACATCCTTCAATAGCATAATTTGGTGCAATAAATGAGTCTTGCAAAAGTTCATACACAATCGGCCTTGTATTTTCATACCAAAAGCATTTCTTAATAAAGTTGTTGAAATTTTTATCTATGATTAAGTTATATTGTCACATGTGTCCGTTTTATTCTCCCGTGAATGGAAGCACTTTAATATATTAGCACTATTACTATTCATCAGAAAAACTTCTTAATAATTCTTATATATATATATATATATATATATATATATATATATATATATATATATATATATATATATATATATGAGTAACCTTATATATTTATAAGAATAACCTCATTTTATCAAGTAACTCCAATTCATTATGTGAGTATTATCAACTAATTTAGAAATAAATAACTCCATTATTCATTCGAATAACCCCTATTTTTTGTTTTAAAAATTGAAAGAATGATTTCACTTATGTAAGAGAATAACTCCTTTTTTCATTAAAGTAACTCACACACGTCAAAGGAACTGAGTTACAAATTTATTTATGGGAAATTCTCAATGGTAGCCCCAAACTTTTGGCAATTCTCAATGGTAGCCAGTTTTTTAAAAAATTCTCAATGGTAGCCCCGAACTTTTTAAAAAGTTGCTTCCGTAGCCTTTATTAGTAAAAAACGTTAAGTTTCTGTTATTAAGTGGTCATTTCGGTTTGTCAGGTTAACTAAGGCTAACTAAGGTTATTTTGGCTCCAAACTTTCCCTCCAAATTTTCCCTCCCTTTCTTTTGCATCTCTCCCTTTTTAAATACCCCTTCTCCTCCTTAATTCCCCCACTGCCAACCTTATGAAATTTTTCTTACATTAGCCATGGCTGAAAAATGGGCAAAGATGAAGGTCTGCAACTGTGTGCCTAAGAAATACGCTGACATCAAGATATCAGACTCAAGGAGCAACCCAGGAAGAGCTTACTATAAGTGCAGCTTGTGTGGGATTTTTTCGTGGGTGAATGATGAAGAAATTGTGTTCTGGAGCAGGGGAATAGGGTCTGCAATTGCTGCTGGAGTGAAAGACGGACTTAGCTGCTGTGTGAAGATTGCAATTGTGGTGTTGTTTGTGTATTTCCTGTGTAGTATGATGGAATAATTTTCATGTGCTGTGATGTAATGTAGGACTTAGGGTTGTATGAAATGCACTGGTATTTGAATAAAATGGGGTTGTTTGCTAATTTTATGAGCTTTAAATTTATCCTATTTTACCATGTGCATATATAAATGCAATTTTGTGAACATATGCAAATGCAAACCAACAAATGTAATGCAAGTCCTACTGTCATATGCAAGCAAATTAATATGCAAAGTAGGACTGAACATATGCAATGCAGGAATCTGAAATGAACTTATGAATAATTGAAGTGGCTGCAGTAGGAATCTGATATAAAATGAAGTCTGATATAAAATGAAGTGGCTGCAGTCTGATATAAAATGAAGTCTGATATAAAATGAAGTGGCTGCAGTCTGATATAAACTAATTAAGTACAAAATACATATCTTAAGTCTGATAGAAAATAATTCATTACAAAATATTTATAAGTAACAATTAATGTTTTGGCTGATGATATTTGTCATAAAAATAAGAAAGTTAAGCTTAAGGCTGTGATGTAGCAACTGCTGCAGCAGATCTTGATCTTGATCTTGTCCCTAATGCTGGTTGAGAGGATGGTAGTGGTTGCTGCTTCTTCTTACCCTTTTTACCACAGCTTGCCTTTTTCTTAGCTGTCATACCTCCTTTGCAAGTAGCTGCATTGTGGCCAAAAGCTTTACAGTTGCTGCACCTAACTGTCTTAGCCTTTTTCCCCTTCCTTTCTTCATCATCTTCTCTCTTCCTCTCTCTAGAAGGCCTCCCTATGCCCCTTTTCATGGGTGGTGGATTAAAGTGAGGCATGTCTATGGGTGGCCATTGTTCAACATCTGGTATGGATTTAATCCCACAGCTGTAAGCTTCCTTGTACTTGGTGACTGAATACCAGTCACTGACAAAGGAGTGGGGGTCCAACCTTGCTTTAATGATGGCTCTTATACCATGCCTGCATGGAATTCCAGTCAGCTGCCACACATTGCATAAGCAAGTGTGGTTGTTGAGGTTTACAGGGAGCACAGACTTGCCATCTTGAACCTCATACTCTCCTTCAGCACTCTTGTATGCAATACAAGTCCTACTCTCATGAACAAGCTGATGTATCCTCTTTATAATGTGTGGGCATATGTCTTGCCTCTTCCATGTCTCACAAACCTGCCTCCTTTTTGCAATTCTAACCATAGTGTTCCTTCTAACACCTATAATAAACAAAGGGAAATTAGTAACAGATAATTGCAACCCTTTTGCCAAGCATTATAGCAGATAAATGTCATTGTGACTTACTTTCAAGTAATGTCAGAACTGGTCTGCTCCTGTCCATTCCTAGTGTGGAATTGAAGCTTTCAACAAAATTGGTGACATTGACATCACACTTCAGTTCAGTGTTGAACTTGTGTTTACTCCACCTCTTTTGATCTCCTAATTTAGAAAGCCAAACCCTGCCAGCTGGATTAACTTTGCCTAATTGATCCATAGCCTTCTTGAAAGTGAACTCTGAGTTAGCATTACATGCTCTCCAAAACAAAGAGAACAGCAAAGGCCCTGGAAATGACTTCTTCCAATTGACTGCAAGGTGCTTGCAGCAATACCTTCTGTCAACTTCTGGCCATACATCAGTCAATGCAATATCAATACCCTGCATTTGACACTTACATGATGTTAGTGTGGTATCTGCATCAATTAAATAAGGTAAATAGGCTAAATTAAGTTGAGTAATGTAAACCTTTTGCCTGTCAGAAATGATGCACCAATTGTCTCCCCTTCCAAGTGAAGCTAAGACATTCTTTAAATGCCAAACAAAGAAGGACCAGCTGTCACCATCTTCAGCAGTGACTATTCCCCAAGCAAATGGGAATATCTCATTGTTCCCATCCAGTGCAACAACAGAGAGCAAGACACC